AAATTACATACTAACTACTTTTCTGTGAAAAAAGTTTTTAAAAATCTAATCAAGCAGAAATCTTGATTAGTAATGCTATAACACTGAATAAATATTTTAATTTATGGAGTAGTATGTTACATGTTCATAAATCAGATATGATTAAAATAATGACAGGACTGTTAATTTATTAATAGAAAGAATTAAGAAACAATAGTGAGGAAAATTTCTTTTAAGTGAAAAGTGTATGATTATTTGAATCCCCCTTTACATGAAATCACAAAAAAATTTGTTTTAATTCAGAAAATTCAAATTAAGCAATATAAATAACAGAAGCAGATCACATGGATGTGTTCTGACATATGTGCATGCAAACTGCATTGCATCTTCAGATTTTTTACAGTTAGAATGACCTTGAATTTCATCATCCAAATGAGAACACTTTTGAAAGCAAAAAGAAGCACTGTTAATAAGTAAAAAAAAAATTATCCTAGACAAATTAGGCAAATGATCACCCTGCCTAGAATAAAGTTTCATTAGTTATTCATTAACTAAAATCCATTAATTGAAGTAGAGGATACATTTTAGAAAGCAGTGCGGTGCAGTGGGGAAAAAGACTTGGATTGGGAAACAGGATCCCCGGTTCTCATCCAATATTGCTCCTTATCCATAACTCTGAGTTTCAGTTTCTTCATTATGTCCAAAGGCAAAAAAAAAAAAAACACACAAAAAAAACTTTCTACCTGCCAGTGATAGCCTATGGGTTAAATGAGAAAAATGAACATGATTGTTCAGTGTCAAATGCAATTACCTATACAAATCCAAGGTACACTGCCCAGCTACACACTTTGACAAATGATATTCAAATGTTAAATGGAATCAAGTTGTACAAAAGTTGCAAAAATTTTAAAATATATTTCAAAAGTATTTTTATCCCTCTTCTGAAAATATTTACATAAGTAAAATACAATCTGCTCTCCTTTTTTTCAGTGACTACACTTTTTTATCTAAGAACATGGAGGGGCTAGTTTCCTAAAAGTGACAACGTCTATGGTAATTTCTTTAAGGGATTTCTTGACAATAAAAGCAGGTTAACTACCTGAAATTTTATATATATATATATATATTTTTTTTTTTTTTAATTTGAATTTTTACAGAGAGGAAGAGAGGGATAGAGAGTTAGAAACATCAATGAGAGTGAATCATCGATCAGCTGCCTCTTGCACACCCCCTACTGGGGATGTGCCTGCAACCAAGGTACATGCCCTTGACCAGAATTGAACCTGGGACCTTTCAGTCCGGAAGACCGACGCTCTATCCACTGAGCAAAACTGGTTTTGGCTGAAATTTTATATTTTTAAATGACTGTCAAAAGATATCTTCATAAAAGCATTATATTAATTAAACAGACAGAAGTTCTCCATATATTAGACATGAGAAATATTTGGTTTTTAAATTGGAGGTGTTTTTTTTTTTTCCTCCCAAATTTTGACAGAAAAAAACGTTTACATCCATTGATCAAAACTGCGCTCAGTTTTTATAGTTTTCATATTTTAAATTATACTCTAAAAATATCCCAGTCGTCTGCCACTCCAGAAAGTGCCCAGATACACTTGCCCCTACGCGGCTAACCACCCTCATTTGGCTAGGGGCACACTAGGATCTTCTCCCGAACACTTCAGCTTTCCTCAATATGGAACTAGAATTTGTTTTCAAACTCTGAGCAGGATCTCTGAAAGGAAAAAGGAGAAATCCTGTGAAGACAGGCCTGGACTGAATCCAGGGGCAAGTACTCTCACAGTGATGCCAAGGAATTATGCCAAGGAGGGAAGTGATTTTGCAAATAGCGCCATGGTTAAGTATAAGGCATGTAATTCTTTTGTCAATACCGCCAAGGTTAAAAGGAAAGTTATTTGATGAACAATTTACTCGACTTACAAAAAAGCAGACGTACTCTTTCACAGTTGAATGATAAGGAGGCATCTTGGCTTCTTTAATCACATTTTCTTTAATGAACTCCTTCTATTAATACCTAATTTCACTTATCCTAATGCATAATTAATGTAGATGACAGCGGAGTAATTTTATTTTGTTTTTAAGTACCTTAGTGTATTTTGCAGGTGACAATAATTTCGGTATTCAAATGAGTTTCCAATTCTTGAAACCAATATAATTTTAATACTACCACATTTAGTGAGATGATTTTGCTCATTTGGAAAAAACTGGAGACTTTTCTTCATGGTTAATGTATCTCTTTACCGCAGTTCAAGACCGGTTGTCTTAGAAGTATAGCACTCAAAAAGTTCCTGCTTATTTTTCTTAACAACTAAATGTAAAAATCATATGAATTAAATTACACAACGAGAAACAAAAATGCTGTAATTTTTTAAACCTTTAAACATGAAAAGAGCAAGACCTCTCATGTCATTTCCTAGTCTTTTCTTAGACAAAATTTATGTGCACTTTTATATGTATTCCTGCTATGTTTCTCATGTTTCCCACTTTTTATTGTGCTAGAGTTTTCTATTCCAATTTCACACGAAAATCTTCATACTACCAAACCGCTGCTTTTATAGCTAAAATGTAATAGTATATTCTTAAAATGTTCTGATAGTAGTTACTGTTGAATTCACCATCATTTTCAAATAACTGTTACTAGCCTCTAGTCAATAAGTAAGAACATTGCCTTTCATTAAATTGGTTAGTTTATTTAACTAAGAATACTTCTTTACTTACCCAGGGTAATAGCATTCTGCCTTCTAGTAAGTGGCAAATCTTCAGTTTTTTATTTCCACATACATGGAACCTACAGGATTTTCTACTCTACAGAAAATACAGCCAACGACAGAAAGGGGAAGACAATGGGTAGACACGTTTGCCTCACTCAGGGGGTGTGAAGAAGGCTGCTCTCTCACTTATGAGACCTGAACCAGTAATGTCTCAATGTATTTTGTAGCGTGCACCTCACAGTGTCAGCTATGAAGAAGATGATAATTGAGTGCTGGGACGTAAGTATTTTATATGCTAGTGACCAGCCACATGAAGTATCAAATTTGTCAACCAGGACAGGAAAATATACTTGGCTCAGTTACTCCATCAAAATAATACATTCAGTGGAAACATAATGTGAGCCACATATATAGTTTTTCAATTTCTAGGAGCCACATTAAAGGAGTACTAAGAGCCGTAGCCGGTTCGGCTCAATAGAAAGCCTGTGGACCGAAGGGTCCTGGGTTTGATTCTGGTCAAGGACATTTACCTCCGTTGCAGGTTCCTGGCCCTGCCAGGGTGTATGCAATAGGCAACCAATTGATGTGTTTTTCTCACATCAATGTTTTCCTCTGTCTTTCCTTCTCTCTCCTACTCTCTCTAAAAATATATGGAAAAATATCTTCAGGTGGGGGAAAAGGGTAAAAAGAAATAGTTGAAATTATTTTTGCTATGACTATATTTTATTTGATTTATCTAAAAAAGTACTAATGATGTATGTTACATTCTCTTTTTTTCTACTAAGACTGAGATTCAGAGTGTAATTTATACTTACAGCACATATCAATTATGAATCGCCACTTTTCAGAATCTAAAGAACTACTGCCTACCAAACTGGATAACACAAATCTATACATTTCTTATTTCTTTCTTTAAGTAATATTCTATTAGAAAGATAATTCTACGGGGGACTAATGTGATGTATATGCCAAATTACTATTAGCAAGACATTCCAGTACAGCAATGAAACTAATATTTTCTAGGATGTCCTTTGTTTTATGATGGAAACTAAAGCACTACTGTAGTTAAAGGCCCAGGCTCTTGAATCAGAATGCTCTGAGTTTGAAGATAAACATTACTGAAGTAGCTGCAAGCAAGCCATTTGTCCGTGATAGCCCCAGTTTTTCATTCTGTACAGAAAGGGGTGGTAACGGTATCTACCGCATTCAATGAGCTAGCCCATGTGAAGCACATGGAAGAGTATCTGCCCAGGCTGTAGCCACCAAGCTTAGCTGTAATAATTACGGTTCGTTATACTCCCCTCTAAATTACCTAATATTTGCAAATACTAAAATTATGCTGCTGGCTAGGACTAAAAGAATATGTAAAAGTTATTTTTTGGAATGTATTATAAGTTACAAGTTAAAGCCATATAAGTAATATAATCTCATAAAAGGAAAAAGTGTTAGGATATTCACAAACAGAAAAATATCTATCAATTTTGAAGGCCTATGTGACAGTTTTCAATTTTAGAAAATTGGTCAATTATTTAGGAGCACATAGGTTATGTGATTGAAAATCCAGCTTTAGAAAAACATAAAATGGGCTGTTGCTATTTAAAAACAAATAGGAAACATCCAGCTGATGTTTTATGATAGCTTAAAATTTACTTTGGCCCACTTCCACAAAAAATGGGGTCTCTTATAACACAGTGTATCAGGAATACACTCATTTTACTTATTATGTAGTCCAGAAAAGAAATATGGCTTTGGCAGAAGTAACCTCAGAGATTTATCAGTGCGATAAATTGTGATGATTTTGTATCAAACTATTAGTATTTATAAAAATATTTCTGAAAGTTTGCAAATGTACTTGTACTTGCCCCCTCAGTAGAACTCTTGTTAGCAGCCCCCTTACCCTACTTTTGTTCTGCTATTCACAAGTCCAGAAGGTAGGGGTTTCAAAACAGAAGGAGTCATATATCACTAAATCCTGATTAATGTCACTTCCCTCTCCTCTCTCCAATCTCATAGCTCCATGTGCAACTGTTCATTTCTTCTATGTCAAGCATACAGTAAATTAAATTTTAGCAACGGATATTGTTATCGCCAGTATTTATGACATACCCTTAGTGCAGACACCACAGTGGGGAATCGTTGGTAAGTTCAATAGTGACTTTTCCTAAGATCTACTGAATCAGGCTGTAGCAAAGACCCACATGGTCAAATGATTATTATTACTTAACCACGTTGTCGCTGAGCTAGAAAAAAAAAAAAAAGCAAAATAGAATTGGAATAGTGCGTATTACTTACGTTCACACGTGTCCCCCTTCTGCTGGTAGCCTGCTTTGCAGATACATTTTCCAATGGGCACTAACCATTCTCCTTCTGCACTGCAGTGCATCCTGGGGGAGTTTTCCGCCTCTTCCTCTGCACTGCTGACACACGTCCCTCGAACCTCAACTAAAGAGGAAAATTCTGAACCAGTCACTGTATCTGGAAAGATAGCTAAGTTCTCAATAATGGACCAGCACTTCTTGTAGTACACCTTGACCGAAACCAAAGCTATGCAAGCCCCTACATCCTGAAAGGCAAGATAGAATCCCTTTTTGGACAGAGGTCCAATCTCTCTCACCTCAGTGTTAAGCTTCATCTTTCTCTCACCAAGGTCACCTTGAGTGAAACTTTCATCGGCAGCAATGGTGTCTATCTTTACATAGAGGTTTTCTCTGATATTCCTGCCAGTGTCGTAGTCTGTCTCGTAATAGTACAAATTAAAGGTTTCCTTGCACGTTCCCAACACTCCAGGAAGACTGTTACAATCCCTCAGGGTGAATTTCAATTCTACAAAAATCCTTTGTGCGTTGCCTTTCGAAATCCAGTTAGTCCGCAGCCAGTTGTTTTGGTTGGGCTCCATGACCTGGCACACCTGGTATGTTCGTATTGGGGTGTAGTTCTCATCCAAACCACTGATTTCTTCCCACTGTAAAGTTAAATAAAGGTCATCAGTCATCGGCAAACATAACAATGATAAGAATAACATTTTGCTTTGGAGAGTGCATGAGAAATCTTTTAGCACAGATGTGTGTCTTGGAGAGAAGTAGATTCCTACCCTGAGCAACACTGCAGCCCGAGAACAGAGCATTCAGCATGGCTGCTTGCCTTGTTTGTGCACACAATAAATATCTCATTTTGTTTAATAACTCTTCGCTAGTGTGTTAGATTACTTTCTTTTTACATATTTGCTTATATCTGTAGTCTCTATTGAGATTATATGTCTGGACTAAAGTACACAACACAATTATTATATCACAGTTTAATGCATATACAGATGGATACATGGCAGAATTTTTATAACGCAGTTGACATTTTAAGTGTGAATGCTATATTTAAACTTAGAAAGTACCTAAAAACATAGGGAAGGCCAATGCCAAGAGTACTCTGAATGGAAAAGCATTCAGATGTCGATATGTTGATATTCATAATGCGGACTCTTTTACAACCTTTTCAAACTGAGACATAAGAAAGTAACATTTTACAGAGCTACTTATTTATTGCAGTGTTATTAATAATATTGTACACAAATCCACATAACTATAAAAAGTACTTGTATAAAAGTATGATTCATCTTTGTAAATAAGTTGCTTTCAGTAGAAAATCAAATGTACATGGCAAAGCAAGATCCTGAATCATATTTCAGTAATAAGCTTTCTGACCGAAAAAATAGCAAATGTTTCAAAATGTTCATTCATATGCTGATACAATGCATGCTATAGCAATCTCATGTTATATGTATTTGCACAAAAAAGAAAAATAATAAGTTTAGCAGAATTGAAAACAATTTAAAGATTATTAAACCATGGATAATATCATCTATATTGCTATTAACAATTAAAGTAATTTCACCTAAAATAGCTCCAAATGCCTGAAATAACACTTATGTCCTTTCTTATCATCGTTACAAAATATCCACTTCATATTACACTGTCTTATTAGTGAAATTGTCATCTACTTTTATTCATTTCACCAATGTGAAATGGCAAATATAAAAAACATATTTGTATTAAAGTTCAGTCAAATACCATGCAATATTTAAACCATAGTTTCAAGAAAAGCAGGGGGGAAATAAACTAATAAGCATGTGCTAGTGAGTTTTATCTGTAAAATTTTATCTAGAATCAATTTATTTAAATGCTCTATAAGCCTTAATATATACTTTTAGAATGTTTCTTAGGAAACTAATGAAATTCACAAATTAGCAATTAACTGTAATTCAGCAATTTCTTGTGTGATGTTATATAATGGCTACAATCTTATTATACAAATCACCTAAGGTCCTCCACTACAGCAAAAATCTCACCCATATCAACACAACTCCCGTTTGTGAGCAGTTAGTGGTGTGCATATTTCCCCTGTGCTTCCATCCGTTGCTTATAGTGTGAATGACAGCCAAATATACCCATATACCCAAGTTTCTTCATTGAGACAGGTAGGTTTTTGTCTCTAAATTAAGCTGAATTAGTAAAAGAAGTAAAGCTGGTAATGGTATCAATTACAATACCAAAAACTCCAAAGATAAATGTGTTGTTTTTAATAATTTCCCAGTTTGAAGAAACTAAAGCTAATTATTATAGAGGAATAAATCTTACAAGCTGCTATTTCTAACTTTAAGAAAAATTACATTATTTTGTTCTATCTATGAAAAATCAATTTTACTAAACTATGAATCCCAGTTTATTTTCATTTTTATTTAAAAATTTGTTCCTAAGGGGAAATTTTCAAAACAACTATCTATAGGTAACAAATAGTGACGTGATGTAACTGCATTTAACACAACTCCTGTCTTTTTTTTTTTATCTCACTTTCTGATAAACTGGAGTGATTTCTATAAGTGACACCAATGGGAAAGAAGTCTTAATTCAGATAATGTGCTTTTATGGTTTGCTTATAGAAATATTTTCTAGAAGCTTATGTCTTAATAACAAATTATTTCCAGTTAGATATTTAATTACATGTAAGCTAACCCATTTCATATACAAAAAATACTATCAATCTTCATTTCCCAATATTATCTGTTTAATCCTTCAGATATGTAGGGCTAAATGTTATTCAGATATTTTGAACTGACAGAATGCGCATTTGAGTCCAAGATAACATGGACAGTCATAATTTATCATGTCATGGATTACATGGATGAAATACTACAATCATATATCAGTTTACTTCTCCTTAGAGATTAAAAAAACCACCCACTATCTCTATTTGTTTTAATTGATGGATGGCAGAAAATAGGCTATATCTGTCATTGGCAAGAAAGGTATTTCATTTTTTTATTGTGAATGTCTTCCTATAATACATATTATTTCACTCATGGAAAACCTATGATTGCAAGAAAAGTACTGCACCTCAAACTTCACGTAATTTTTTTTTACTTAATTTGTGAAACATTTGTCACTTTGTAGAATTTATTTTGCCCAATACAGAAAACTACAGTATGATATCAAGCAATGTCTCCGAATATTTTAAACTTATTTTCATCATTCACAGTTTGCATTCTTAAACTGACTTCCACTTCATGACATTGATCTTATGATGTTCTTATACAAAAAAAAAAAAAAAAAAAAAAAAAAAAAAAAAAAAAAAAAAAAAAACCCTCTGGGACTTTTGTTCTTCTCTTTGCAAAATGTTGTTACACTTTTTTCTATCCTCACTTCATGCTCTTTGATTTCATGTCAAAGATTAACTCAAGTAACAATAAGGTATACTTTCCTTTCGCAAAGCCTTCTTCTTTAATAGGGGATGAAGTATGTGATCTCTCTCCCAATTAAAAAACTGAAGAACAAAGACATTGAACTAAATTTAAGAAAGTAATAGATTTTTTCCTGATACATAGACCATAATGGTCAAAAATTGGGGGTGAAAGGTTACATATGCTTTCCTAGATTTTTGTTTAGCTGCTTTCACTCATACTTATTGTAACAGATTTTCACTGTAGTATGTGTATGCTCTGCCATCACTTCTGATTAGTAGCAACAGATAGATATGATATAAACTTGGAAAATCCAAATAATATCTCCTAGCAAACTGTATGCTAAAATATTGAGCAGATTACATTTTTGGCTGCCTTTTAAAGTACCTGCTAAAACTGTTTTTAAAAGAGGAAAAAACAGATTGCATACTATTCTAAAGAACTATACATTACCTACCTGGCTATTATACTAAGTATAAAGTAACTAGAGTGGTTTAAATGAGTTTGTGAAAGGATTGTTCCTTGTAATTAGTTAGCATTTATAGCCTGGAACCTGAGGTATGATACCACTCACAATAAGAACTGGAAATATTATAGAGTGTTTTTTAAATCTATGTCCCGAAGTATGCCTTCTTCTCTTCTTAAAAAATTAAATGTCTCGTGATAAATACAACAAAATATTGAATGTGATATCTGGAATGGAAATTGTTTAAATTTAAAGAATGTGAATAACTCCACTATGGAGAGAGAGCAAAGGTCTTGAGTCTCACTTTAAAAATGAAGGGTGATATTTTTGGAGGAGAAGCACTTACCCCATTTGGTGGAGAGGAAATCCATTCCAACTCTGTCTGTTGTGCTTTAGAATCCAGCAGTAGTACTGAAAAAGAAATTTTTATTTCCAAACGTTACAAGAAACACTTCAACACGTTTGTAAGTTAGTAAAGTGAATCTAATTTTATCTAATTATCACTTTATGACTTAAGATATAGAAACAGTTACTTATATAAATAAATAGTGAAATGAATACCTACCTACCTGATACAAGTATATTACTCCAGTGTGGAAGAAAATGCATTGAAATACCATCTTATATTTTGAATTTTTGAATAAAATAAACTTAAAAACTCAAAAGCAAAAAAAAAGGGGGGGAGTAAAAATTGCTATGCGATGTATTGTTTTTCTAGAAATTATATATTATAAAGAGTTTGTAAACCATTGAGCCTTCCAAATCTTGTGAAGCATGATAACCTGAATGTAATAAAGTGTAATTCTACATTACGCTTAAGGCTGCCATTAATTTATATTTTGCCATTAGTATTTCCTAGAACTTTTTGAGAATTGCAGCTTATTAAAACTCTTCACCCAGTGTCTTCCACACACATATACAAGAGGAATATGACTAAAATATGTATTAAGAAATATTATTTTAGAAAAATAAACTATTATTTGCAAGGTATAGTTTTGAGTTAAACATCTGTTTTCAATATTTCTATTTTTTTTTAATTGCCAAGGTTTCAAAGCATTAGCTAATTCTCAAAAATGGTATATTTGAACTCTAACGACTATTTTTCTGATTTTCTTTTTAAAAGTTGTATTCCACTTTTATGCTATCAAAAAACCATAATTAAATTAAATTATTATACATGTAATGATTGCTCCTGATATTATTAATATAAGATATTCAAATGGCATATATCATACTTCCAATTTTATAAATTTCATTGCTTTTTAAGACAAGTGCCCTCCTAAAGCATTCACTGTTTGTTCAAATTGGTTTGTTACCAAAGTTTTTCTCTTTAAAAGTATTTTGACTCTAGAGTATTTTAACAAGTATATCAATTTGTCCACAAATAACAGTGAATGTATTTTTGAATGTGCAAATATGGTTAATATCCAATCTCAACAAAATGTTAAAATCTGGACATTCATAAAATACATGGTTATATGAACTTTTAAATAATCACTAGAGGGAAAAAATGTATTTTAAAGGAAATGAAAATGAGTTATGCTTGGAAAATAGACCACACTGATTATGTGTTCAATTCTGTCACGCTAGTCAAGGTTATTCTTCGTAACTGAAAGAAGCAGATATAGTTAGATACAGAGACACTTGTTTTCAAAAATGTCTTGCACTTGAGACTATCCGGGAGACCATGACAGCACAAACTTTGGTCACAAACACTTGGACTCTCTTCCACATGAGGAGGGGAAACAACACACTTTTAAAATACAAGTTATACTTTACACTTTGAACATTAAAAAAAAAATCGTCGGATTAGTGAATCTCTACGATGTAAATTTATTTTGTGCTTGTCCTCAACAATAGAGACAAAGCTGAAGCAAACAACTAGGTGCCACGCACTCTTCCTTTGAGATAATTTATCTTCTTTTTATTATTTTTTTTGTCTTTTGTATTGACAAGAGACAATTGCATTTTAAACCCAGGTGACCTTCGTGGGTCACTTTTGGGAGCAAAATAGGCATCGTGGACTGTCGACTGTCATCCCGTTACCCCTCCACACAGACTTGGGTGGGCTAGGGTGAGGATGGCAAACAGGTTGAGAAGTCAACAGCAACAAACGGGAATTGGCCCTTGCGCGTTGAATGAGAAGCAGCTCTAAAGGGATCAGAGTGCCTCGCTCCCTGACATCAGCCTCCCCGCCACCCGCTCTCCTGATGCGCCCGCCAGTGCGCGCTTCAGCCTCCCGGTTCCCGGCGCCGGCTTCTCCCTCCGAGCCCGCGGGGGGCAGCCCAGCGCCGGCCGGGACCTGGGCGCTCGGGACGGGCGCGGAGCCGCCCTGGGTCGGCGAAGCCGGGGCGGCGGGGTCGCGGGGCGGGCGCGCCCTGGCGGAGGCTGCCTGGAGGGGAGGGGGGTCCGGGCGGCAGCGCGGGCGGCGGGGCCAGGGCGGGGCCGCCGGGGGGCGGGGCGGGGGCTGGCAGCCGGGCGCGCCCGCGGCGCGGAGCATCCATCACTCCCCGCCAGCCCTGGGCTCCGGGGAGCCGGCGGCGCCCGCGCTCCTGCCGGAGCCGGCGGGGGAGAGGGGCTTTCGGGAAGCGTCTCCCGGAGGAGGAGTGGCGGCGACGGCTTCCACCCAGAGGAGGCTCAGCGGCTGCCCTTCCCCTCCCGCCGCCAGGCTCTTACACCCGCGCTCGCAGGAGCGGGAACCCATCGCCCCGAGAGAAAGTGTGCGGGAAGAGCGGAGGAAGGGGGCGAGGGGTTAGGGAGAGGGTGGGGGGAAGAAGATCCCTCATCTTCTTCCAACCTCCCCGCCCACCCGGGAGGCCGCGCACCACTTTCCCGGCGCCGCCAGCGAGCGCCCCGGCCCGGCCTTGAGGCTGCAGAGCTCGGGGGTCTCAGCACCGAGCGCCGCCGCCGCCGAGAAGCCGGGCTTCTCGGCCACCCCGCCCACCTTTTAAATATGTCACTTCTGCGTTTAAACAACTCAGCCTGCTGGAATCAGAATCCTTCACTCGCATCCTGCGCCCAGGAGAGAAAGGCGAGCGAGCGAGCGAGCGCGCGGTCTGGCTGGGGAACCTCTCCCCCTAGTGATGCGCTTCTTTATGGCGCGCACGCCCGCCAGGCTGCCGGCTCCCGCCCCGGGCTCCGCGGAGCAAACTTTTCCGCGGCTCCAGCCTTTCCGGGGGAATCGGGACAGGGTTCCACGTGTGGATGCTCCTAACCGCTAACACCGCGGGAGTGGAGATGTGGGTGTTGGTGTGCCCGCGTGTATCTTTCTAGTTGGTGTCAGTGCGGCTGCAAACGCGTAACAGACCCTTCGGAGGAGTCCACGGTTTTCTCAACATCGCTCTGAATGGGCTCAGAGTCCACACAGGCTGCAGATGTGGAGACTGGGGTCAGAAGGTCAGGCTGGATTAAGAAGTAGGACACGATGTGGGTTTGAATGGACGAAGAGGGGTGCGCGAAGAGAAGGGGAGGTGGGGGGAGAGGAGAGATGGCCAGCACTAAATCACCAAGTTTTTTTTTTTTTTCCAATGATAGATGAACCCAGAACCGATAAGTAGCCCCCACCATCTCCACCATCACGACTTCAATCTGATGTCAGATTCCCCCATTCTCCACACAATTCAGAAACAAGGAATTATTAGCATCCTGCTTTTCCATGTCAGTGAAAATCAACCTTAGACTTCCAGCCCAGAAGACCTGGGGTTAGGGGCGGGGGGGGATCGGCGGGGGCTACACAGGGGCAATGCTTGGAGCCAGGCATTTCCATTGACAGGATCCATTTCCCCCAGCTCCAACTACAGGCACCGAAAGGTATTTTACCTCTGTCAGTGGCTCAAAGGAAAAGAAGAAAGAAAGAAAAAAAAAATAATTAATAAATAACAACGCATACAAGCGTGTCTGGTGCCCCAAGGAAGCCTGCTCTCTCCATCCATAGCGAGCCCTCGTGGTCCAGGTCTCCCGCTCGGCTGGACCCCTCGGACTGAGCTGCCGGAGTTGGGGCAGATGTTTGGGGACTTTCGGTGGCCTCGTCGGCGGCAGCAGCACATTATCAGGCGCACGAGCCCCCGGGCCTGGCCGACCCATCAGGGCTCCGGCTGCCCGGGACCGGCCGGATCCGCGCCAGATGGAGACCCCGCGGCCGGGGGAGCGCGCCCCGGTCGGCGGCACCTCGGCGGGCGGCGGTATTGTTCCGCGCAGGCGGCCGAGCGCCCGCCGCAGGCCCGCGCCGCCGCTGCCGCCTCCGCCGCCGCCTCCTCCTCCTCCTCCTCCTCCTCCTCCTCCTCCTCCTCCTCCTCCTCCTCCTCCTCCTCCTCCTCTTCCTCCTCTTCCTCCTCCGGCGCAGTGAGCTCTTCATTAGTAACTCGAGCCCTCCGAGCTCGCACCCTGCACCGTCCCTCCGGGAAGGCTCCTCCGGACTCCGGCCGCGAGCTGGCGGGCTGCCCGGGACCCCGAAGGTTGCATTCTCCAGCCCCCCCCCCCCCACCACCACCACCAACTCCGGCCGCAGCCTCACCCACCGGGGCCAGCACCGAGAGGAGGAAGGAGGAAGGGGAGAGGGCTGGAGGCAGAGATCTGACCCGCTCCGGGTCTTGGAGAAGGATCACGCCGACCGTCCGTCTGCCAAACCCCATCCCGCCACCCTCCGGGCTGCCCGCCCGCGAAAAGCCCCGCTCCGGCCAGGCCGACAGCCGGGACGCGGGGCAGCGGGAGGCTGGGAGCGGCGCCCCCGGCGCCCCCGGCCACCGTGGCAGCCGGGACGGCGAGGGGGCGAGGAGCCAGCGGGGCGGGGGGGGGGGGGTCGCCAGGCTCCGGAGGCGCGGCCGGCAGCCCCCCCGGACCAGCCGGCTGGCGCAGGTAGCCAGCTAAATAAATAAGTCAGAACAAACTTTGCTTTTCCCATCACCTTACCTTCCTTTACAGCTTGCGCCTCCCCGGTGTGTGCAAAGCGGAGCAGCCAGATGGAGCATACGACAATCCACGAAGGGCTCCGAGTTTGCAAAACCATGGTGCACGAGCAGGTTTTATGTCAGCTTTCGGTGGAGTCGCAGCTTTTGAAACGCTGTTTGCTCCGAGTGGGTTCTTTGCTTTTCTTTCTTTTTTCCTTTTTATTGCTCTTCTTGCATCGATTCCCCTTCTCGATCTCCAGGTGACGGCTCCGGCTCCACGTTTAAGCTTTTTTTTTTTTTTTTTTTTTTTTTAAAGAAACGTCCCCCTCCTGATCGCTCGCACCGTATCCACTGCCTGCAAGTCTCCGACTGCAGACCCGCCGCCCGCTGCACACTCCAATAATATCAATTAGGGGGGCCGGGGCGGGGCTCCGAGCGCAGAGCCTCGGCGCCCGGGCTGAGTGGCAGGCGCAGCCGGCCAGCCAGGCTGCGATTCCCAGGCCCGAGGGGCGGGGCCCCGCGCAAAGGCCGCCCCGGCCGCGGGGGCGGGGCTCGGGAAGCGGGCCAATCAGCGGCGAGCGGAGTCGGATTGCGGGTCCAGGATTCCCTCCAGGTTCTGGGCTCCCCGCCGGCGCTGGATGCTCTGCAGCCGCGGACGTGGATGGCAGCCAAGGGGCGTGCAGCCTTGGCCTCTGGGGTTGTAGCAACCACAGCTTCCCCGGAGCCGAATCTTTCCGAGAATAACGCTTCCAATGCATGGCCCCCAGTATTGCATTTTCCTCCGCTGTATCTGGTAGAAGCCGGGGGCAATGCGAGCCATGTGTCAGCTACCGAGCGCTCAGCCGGGACAGCAAAAGGAGCTGTGCCTTTAAGTAAAGTGCTTTCTACTTTTTTTTTGTTGTTGTTACAACCTCCTCCGCCAGGGTCGGATAACTTTGTTCTTTTCCTTTCTTGAAAGGTTTCTACTTCTCTTTTTGTTGTCGTTGTTGCAGCGGTCAGCTCTAGGCACCACCCAGCACAGGCTCCGGAAGAATAAAAGTAACCACATGTATTATTCTGTGCAAACAGTGTTTCCAAGAGTTTGCAACAAACTCTGGCCTGAGACACAGAGGGAAAGGGAGCGTAGAAAGGAAGTCTTTTGTTTTATGGGTCCCTCTCATCCCGCCCAACCTTTTCCCAATAGTTTGTTGGGTGAAGTGAGACATGAAGCAGCGAGGACCTTCAGATGGTTCCGTATCGTTTTTCTTTACATGTGTATAATTTTCGGAGGTTTCCTTTGGATTTCCTCTTTTTGACGGTTTCCCATTTCGCTGCAAAAAAAAAAAAATTACATTGCATTTTAAAGAATGCTAGAATGCTGCCGCGCATCAAATTCATAAAGTAAAACGTCTTTTGCAAATAGCAACTGTTTTCCTATGATTATTCCATAATTATCTCTCAAAGGGAAACAGAATAAGAAATGTAACCAACATCTTCAGTTGAATTTATCCAAACCAAAATGTCCCGGAAGGCTGTGTAGAGAGAAATCGGTTTACCCTTAGGCAGTTTGGACTCTTTGCAATTCAAGAGGTGAGTAATGTAAGGAGGAAGAACTTTAAAACATTAATTGTCAAATCATCCATTTCAAAGGTCACTTAACGTAACCTGATCATCACACATTTAAGATGAGCTTAGTTTTCTTCGTGTCTTGTTTCTCTTCCTTTAAAAAGAAAATCTGACATTCATGATTTATCTTTATTTGTGATAGGCAAAAAGTTTGATCTCACCACCTAAGACTCCAAACTTTTCCTGTCTTTCTATCTGGAAATATAAAGTAAATGGAGTTATTTCTGCTATTTTTAACAGAGTGCTCAGAGGTGGCAGATCCCAGATTTTTTATTTTTATTTTATGGTAAGTTGTCTCCTAGAGCTTTTACTTTTGCCTAATGCAATTATGAAAATATAGGAATGACATTTCCTTCAGCTCTAACTTCTCTTTGGTTCTGTAGGGTTTTTCCCTTAAACATTACTTTTTCCTAGCCATTATGCCTATTAAATATTTTAGAAATTATATGTAAAAGCATCTCTGGTGTCTATTAAGGGACACAAGGAAAAAATATAAACTGCATGGTAGATTAACTTTGAAAAGAGACAAAAAGAGAAAGAGAGAGAGAAAAAAAAATGTAGAGTACACTTGTTACAGAGAAGATCAAGTGGTATTTACACAAACAGATGCTCTAAAAGTAAAAAGTGTAATGTAAGTCATTAGAATTAAAAACATAAATCCCCACACCTAGGCTATAAAACTATTAATCTCAAAACCACAAACTCAAAAGTATTAAACCACTTGTAACAGTTAAAATAATTCTCCAGGATTTCAACGCTTCCCCCAGGGCTTCATCCCCACTTCTTAGAATGACACCGAGGTAGCCTTTAAAGTTTAACATAGTCCTTTCATCTATTGAATGACTAATTCTCAGTGATGTGAATACAAATAACTTTGCATTAAACCAGGAAACCAAAGAAGGAACATCCTTCTCTCTGTTGAGTGTAGGTGGTATAGGGAGCTGTCTTCTTGTGTCCCCTCTCTGTGTCAGACATGGGGGGCTTGCTTTTATTTTTAGAGACATTAAATGCACATGTGCCCGGCTGCTGAGAGTTTTCTCTACAGTGTTGCACAGTGATACTCATTTTAAGTTTACCCTCTCTTCTTGTTCCTTCCTCCTCTTCCTCCTCCTCCTCCTCCTCTTCTTCCTCCTTTTCCTCCTCCTCCTCTCCTTTCTCCTCCTCATCCTTCTCCTTCTTTTTCTTTTCCTCCTCCTCTTTCTTCTTTTTCTTCGAGGCATATTGAAAAAGATGTCATGGCATTTCAATAAAAGTGAATGATTTAGTCAGGAGGAGAATGTTCATTAAACAGTATTATATACCATATATCATATTTTAGTATATAAATTAGTATTAGACTGTACTTGACTAGCAGCAAAGCAAATAAACCTATTTGTACATGAAGACATTGAAATAAAAAAATAATCAGTTTATAAAACTTTCATATTTTAAAATAACATTGAATAGTTACTTTATATTACATTTAAAATGGTTTATTTTAACTTCAAATTCATGACTTTTGCAAAGTATATCTAAAGCAAATTGTAAGGCATACTGAAAATTTGTGTGTGTGTGTGTGTGTGTGTGTGTGTGTGTATAAAATAAAAGTTAGACAAGTCATTTTTCTGAGCAACACAGAATGGTGTGTACAGCTAACAGAAGTGATCTAAAGCAGAGATTTTGAAAACTATTTAGTTTTTATATATTCATTGTACGTTACAATTGGTGGAGAGTAACCTACATATATTTAGATAATTTTAAATAAATGGAAAAAGAAGATTGAAACCTTAATATTTCCATTTATATCTTCTCCTTTGAAACATCAATCATAAATTTGTAGTAGAAAGATTAAAAATGCCTACTTTCAGATTCAAAGATAATTACCCAATTTTTATGTACCATATTATTTTTATGTAATTACTAATCATCACTATAGCTATACATATATGAAAATAAATGTATAAATTCAGGACCTATCAAATGAGAGAGCGGAAGTTATTTTCTTTTAATTTTCTACAATACTAACATTTATCTCTCTGTGTTTCCCTGGGAGACATTCTGTGATTTTAAGAGAGAGAATCTTACTGAGTAGTAAACTATAAAGACTTCAGGAAATAAGTTCCATGAATTTTCAAATAAAATCCTGTGTGTGTGTGTGTGTGTGTGTGTGCTAGGTATAGAAAGTAGCATTTAGAGTGTAGGGAACAGCCTGAGACTTTAGTATGTTACAAATCTAGGGTGCCAAAGTAGTTAACAACAGCAACAATGAAATCAAAGGGCTGTTTCTGAACCTACTACTTTTGCATTTACTGTCTAAATGCACTTACAGCTGGTGAATGTGAAAATAGAAGTTCATCACAGAAAAGGGGGGAATTGAAAAGGTACCATGCAGAAGAAACTGATTATAAACAGAAAAGAAATGGATGTCTCAGTGAAGAGAAAATTGGGTTCTTTATTTGTGATTTCAGCCAAAATGTAAACAATCTTTCTACTGTGCAGAAAAATCACTTACATATTTACATTGGTATGATTTATATAGTGTATGTAAACTATTTATTTGCAATCAATGTAAAAAGTATAAGCTAAGTACATTTTTTAAAAGTAGTAATTTAATTTATTCTTCTAAACTTAGATGGAGCTGGATAAAGAAAGGCAGAGGTCAGATAGACTGTAATGTTTCAAAGATTATAATTATAATTCTTTAACTACACTTAACATAAAACAGCTTAACAAATAAAAATACAATTTATATCAAAATTACAGGAGTCCAATTGAATATTGCTAATTTATCAACCTGAAATTTTCTAATTACTTAAAATATTCAAAATTGATAAGTAAAATAAAAATTTTTTCTAATATTAAAAAAACTACTATAGCAGAAAATGTTGCACATTCTATTCAAAATCTTTTAGCACACATTCAATGCTCTTCAGAATTTTTTTTTTACATTTGATTTTGTGTGCGAAGTGCTATTTTACATTACTTACTTTTTTTGATAAATTGCCAGTACCCATAAGAAGAACTAGTTTAAATTATGCAAATTACTTGTATATGCTTTCATGGTTTCTGATCGCTCTCAAAAAGAGATGTTTTAGCTCTTCAGACCTAGTGGATTTTTAGGTTGTCAAGATCTGTGATAATTCAATGACCACCAGGGGGCACCACAATCTCTGGGTGCCCTGACCAATCAAGTCCATAGTGAATAAGAATGAGGTAGTTATGAAATTATATACATATAGAATTATATATATATATGTATATATATAAATATATGTATATATGTATATATATTTCTATACAATTTTATATATAATATAATTGATACTTTCATCTTTCCTGTACCTATGTCAGCCTACTGAAAACCTTCATAAAAATTTGATATGTTCTATGATCTATTTCAGTCTACAGAGGCCACAGTAACTGAAGGGACCCCAAAGACACCTTAGAAGGTGAATTATAGTGGAGAAAAATGCTCTTCAATTTTAAAAAAATTAAATATCTGAGGAACTTAGATAGTCCACAGATTCTCTCTCTC